AGTGAGGAGAGTGCCGAGGCCAGGGCCCGCCGGTGCCGCAGCTGCAGCCGCTCCAGGTACCGCACCTCGACGTCGCGGGCCGACTCATCCTCAAAGCGGACGCGGGACGGGGAGGGTCCCCGGGGCCGGCGCAGCCGCCCGCAGCTCGACTCCCCACTTGATGAGTCGCTCAGGCTCCCGCCGTCCCGTGGGGTGACGCTTGGCCTCCCGCTGGGCTCCCTGCCGTGGGGACAGACAGATGGACATGGATGAGCTGCGAGGGCTGCTCAGCTCCCTTGGAAAAGCAGGGCAGGAGGGGGAAAACCCAAGGCAGGAGATGAGGCAGGAGGAAAGTCTGCCTGATGCTGCACTGCCGTGTACAGCTCTGCTCCCCTCAGCCCTCTGCCCCGGCTGCCTGAAGCTGAAACCACGAGAGGCTACAGCAATGCTTCGCTGCCACAGCCCAACCTCCAACACCTTTTCCCTGCACCGCAGCACCTTGTTAATCAGTCCCGGAACACTGAATCACACATGACCCAGCACACATAGCGAGCCGTGGCTTTGGTACAGCCCTCCAGCCCCAAGCCTCTCCGGCGAGGTGCTCCCCATCAGCTGGGAAACGCAATCCTCCCAGCCAGCTGGGATCACCCCGCCACGTTATCATAAAACACAGTTAAATACCCCCCAAATATGATGCTGTGAAGACTTCACGTGTGCCCAGGCAGGGGGATGCTCCTGCAAGCAGAGACACGCTCACCCAAGGGTATGAGGCCACATGCATGGCCACAGCAGGTCGGCCCCTGGCTCTGCACGCACAGGTGCCTGCTCCGCACACATGCCCGCACGCGTGCTCACGCTCCCCACACACACTCACGTGTGTCGGCCGTGCACACTCCGCACTCACATGCTCCACACGCACCAAATCCAGGCGAGGCACCCCCAAGCACTCCGTGGTGGTGACAGCGGGGGGCAGGATGCGGCCTGCAGGGCTGGCACTGACCTGGGCTGCGGGCTGGTGGCAGCGGGGAGGAGGAGGAGGATGTCGTGGCTGGCGCGCAGGGGGTTCGTGCGAGCCTTCATGCGGGCGCGCTGAAGCAGCTGCTTGGCCTGCTCGTGCCGAGGGCTCAGCTCCAGCTCCTGCCTGGGGACAAAGGCCCTGCGGCCCCGCAGCGGGGAGGGGGATTAGGAAAAAATAACAGGGATTAGAAGTGGTTTAACAGTGACGGTGGGGCTGGTCTGCTCAGAGGAAACAGGGCCCAGCCTCCATTCATAGGCAGGTTGGTTGCTGTGTTGGGGCACAGCTGGGCAGGAGCCCCCGTACCCCCCCATGCCAGGCAGGAGGTGGCAGGTCACACCCTGCACCAGCAATGCTTTGGGGGGAGGCTCAGCACCACACAACTTGGGCACCGGCTCAGCCAAGGCAGCGCTTTGCATCACGGGTGTCCTGGACGTGGATGGGGAAACTGAGGCAGGCACTGCCTCCAATCTCCACTGGTGTAACTCCTGCAGCAGTGTGAATGCAGGTAGGTTTGGCATGACCCCCCCGAGCTGGCTGCCTTCCCTTCCTCGCAGGGGGTCTTCCCCCTGGTCCCCTCACCCCGTCAGCTGCAGGGTGGGGGCTCCATCAGCGACAGGAGGGCACAGCCCTGCTCCAGCGCTGACTTCCCTGTTTGTTGGCCATGGCCCTAATCCCTATGATTAAAATAATCAGCTCAGGCAGTCACTTGGGGGAGCCTGGCCTTAACCTCTTCGCGGCAAGGTGGTAGGTGCACACCGGCCCCCGGGAAAGCCCCCTGTGCAGCACCATGGGGGGGTTCAGGCTTCCCCTGGGTTTTGGCTGCCCCTGCTCAAGGGGAATGCAGCATGCCCAGCTCTGCCATGAACCCAGCTGTCACCAATCAACCGCAGCCATTGGAGCAGAGTGGAACCAGTATCCACGATACAGGGGGATCATTCTCACTCCTTTGCTTACTCCATGCAGTCCCCGAGCCCCCAAACCTGCTCCCTGGCCTACCTTACCTGCCTGTTCCACCTCCATATTTTTAGTCCATACCTCTAAGGTTTATCATTAGTCCAACAAGATTACACACTCCTGCCACCTCGATCCCCTTAAGCACCTGGAGCAAGTTTCTGTCTTGCCCTCTTCACCAGCTTCCTTCCCACCCTGGGGTCCTGGTGGGGACCCCCTGTGCCCAAACACCACATGCACCTGGCTTGGCCTGACCCTCCTGCCCTGCTCACACTGAAGCATCACCAGAGCCCATCCACACTCCATCCACCAGCTTCCACGCTGGGGGCTGCCCCCACAGCCCTTCCACAGAGCTCTGGTGAGCCCCAGTGCTGCTTCGCGGGATGCATTTAATATACAAGACTGAGAGAAGGAAAAGAGGGAAATATCCATCTCTGCCACACTGGGACTGACCTACCTGCAGCTCTCGGTGTCCTGCAGCGAGACCCCCGAGTCCCAGTCCCCGTCGCTCACTGGCACCTCTGAAAGGCAGGACAGGGAAAGGCATCAGGCTGGTTGGACTGCGGCCCCCACCCTGGTCGCCCTCAACAGCACCCCTCGTTTCCCCCAGCCTCATGGTTCAGCCTGTGCTAACAAACACCCCTTCTGGGGTTGTCCCAGCTGCTGGGCTCTGGAGAGACCCCAGAGGAGCAGGACAACAGCACGTGGCGTGGGGTGTGCCCTCAAAGATGGGGACCACAGGGTCGTTAGGGCAGATACTTTCAAAAGAGAAATTAATTCCCTTTTCTGGTGACAGTTTGCAAAGGGAAGATGATGCCCACAGACCTCGAGTGCCCCAGAAAGCAGATTTTTCTCTAGCTTTTAGCAGTGAAATTCCTCACCAGGATGCCGGAGGGGACCGGCAGCACCCGGAACATCCTGGTGAAGAAGCGCCCTGTTCTGTTTGTGGGCATCTCCCACAGCTGCCAACAAAGGGGACAAAGCACCTGCAGGTGACGGGGTAGCCCTGGGGTGTGAACCAGCTACACCCACAGTGAGGGAGGCTGGAGGATGGTGCCGAGGACCCCCCTTCACCTCATAGCTTTGCCTTTCCGCTCCCTCTGGCTCTCCCAAAACAGCCACCACCCGCCCAAAATACGCACCGGGCGCAGTGAGGCCCAGCACCTCCTGCAGTAGCTGCCGGTTCCTCTCCACCTGCTCAGCCAGCGAGAGCCTCTCCCAGGCCTCTGCCACGGTGGGGGATGCAGAGGGACCCCTCTGGTCCCGTGGTGGGATTCGTGCCTCTTCTTCCAGGGGAGGTCTCTCGTGGGGGGAGGCAGAGCCCCAGGACCAGCTGCCCTCATCTGGGGGGAGCTTGGTTCCTCCTGGCACATCTCTCCTGGGTGTCGGCACCCGCCAGAGCCCTGGGGTGCTGGCGAGGGGTGCCGGGGTTGGGGGGCCGCTGGCCACAGACTCCCCACCATCCAACAGCCCGTCCGTCAGGTAGGTGCGGAGCTGAGCACGTGGCTCCACCGCTGCCACATCCACCCCCGCCTTCCCCCGCCGGGGCCGGTGTTTTTTGGGTGAGGGGCGTTCAGGGGTGGCCGTGGGGGTCCCCGGCCGGCTGCCCCCTCGCTTCTCCTTCAGCGCCTTCACCTTGCTCTCCAGGATGGTGTGGGGGCCGCAGGCGGCCTCGGAGCACTCCGGCAGGGTAGGGCCTCGGCTGCCGCTCTGGCTGTGCTGCCTGGGGGGCCGCGGCACCCGCCACGTCTCAGCAGGAGAGCCCCGCTCCATGCGCCCTGTGGGGAGAAAACCCGGGGAAGGGTGGATGAGCCCCCACACTGCCCTCACCCTCCTCTGCCTTGGTGCTTCCTGCACCCCAGAGGCTCTGCAGATAGCAGCCCCAGGGGGCAAATGCAGGCGATGCCACCACCGTGCAGCAAGACCCTGCGGGGAAGGGGACAGGGATGTGGAAGAGCACGAGGCTACCCACCCGCCCAGAGACACTGCACCAGCACTGCTCCAGAGCAGGGGAATGGGGGAGCAAGGGAATGGGGGAGCGGTGGTTCCCCGAAGCAGGCGGCTGGGGGCTGGCAGGAGCGTGGGTGCCTGCCTGTGGTGTTTTGGGTGCCCCAGGAGCACCTGGGCAAGATGTCCCGGAGGAAACTGGCACTTTCTGAGCCAAAGCAGGGCCCCTAAACTCCCCAGAACAGAAATCCTTCACGGCTGCAACTTGCCGAAGGTGTCACCAGCCCCCTGCTCCACCCCAGCCCCCAGCATCACACATGTCACTTGTCCTTGCACTGACCTTGTGGTTCCGGTGGCACCCAGGTGCCGCTGCCCCCCTGCACCCCACTGGCAGCATCCCGTTCCTGCTGGTACCCCTGGAGGAGCCTCCCCCAGGCCCGGGGCTGCAGGGCCATCCCCGGGACGCCCACCCGGGTCCCAATCAGTCCCCCGCGGCCCACTGCAGCCCCTTGCTGCCCTGGGACAGAGCGGTGGCAGGATGGGACTGGAGGTGGGAGGCAAGGGCTGTCCTTACCCCGAGCGCACCATCGGGAGAGGGCTGGGAAGAGAGAGAAGAAGGCGGAAGAAGGGAAGGAAGCAGGGGAGGGGAAAAAAAATTTTTTTGAAAAAAAAGGACAAACCAGCAAATCCCAGCCCCTTCAGCCAAGCCCGAGCTCAGCTGCTTGGCTGGGCTGTGGGGCCGTGGCAGGCCCTGCCTCCTGCCTGGGCCTCCTCCTCCTCCTCCTCTGCGCGCCCCCGAAGCACGCACCCCATGCGGGGCACTCAGCCAAATCCTGCCCCGGCCCCAAAGCTGAACCGCCTGCCCTCGCGCTGGCTGGTGGGTAGCTCTAAAGGGCGACACCACCGTGGCCACCGAAGCCTGGGGGGATGCAGGGGACCCCAACACTCCGCGCCGGGACAGAGGGAAGCCCAGCTGCCTTGGCTGCCTCTCAGGAATGTCCTTTGTCTGGGCTGCGGGTTTGGGAGGCGAGCGGGGAGCAAAGCCAGCTCACTGCCCCGTGCCTGCCGGGGGGGCACCTCACCCCGGGGTGCTAGGTGCTGGAGGGATCTGCCCCGCACCAGTGGCTGGGGCTCCAGGAGGCCCTAAAAGGATGGAGAGGTAGGTCCCACCAGGTAGGGGTGTTTAAGAGCCTTCAGACCGGCAGAAAAGCCTGGCTGCTTTAGGCACCCTCCTGTGAGCATCACACGTTTGCAGACATGCTAAATTCTCCAGATTTTCTGGAGGCCAAATCCTGTGGGGACCCCTGGTGAGCTGGGGCCAACCAAGCACCTTCAGGCAGGAGGACAGTGGGACCCGAGCTTGGTGTACACACATCCCATCACCCCTCAACCAGCTTGCGACACACACCCTGCAGAGCCACCCGCTCCCCACATGCCAAAACCCTTAGCACCTCCCCCCCCCCCCCC